CAAACAGCGTATTGTTGGCAGCAGATCACACATACAGCCGTTAAAACTGTCGCAAATCAATTATTTTCAAGAAAATTTCAAACTTAACTGCAAAATATCAAATTATGGGTTAAAACAGCCCCCCCCCTTCCCCCCACCCCTGTAACCCTCCAGATTGTTTTTACTTGGTCCAGAGGCACAAAGCATTTTGATTGGTCTATCTCCGACCAAAATGTCTCCAGATAGATACTGTGCGTTTGACGATGTCTCAAAGAAGTCTAGATCTAAAACCACAAGAGAAGGCCACAGAAAAGAACTAATTATTTCAGTGACCTTGGCCCACTAGGCCTCGATGAACAAACTAACGGTGTACTGACAAACTAACAAACTGACACACTGGACTGATGATCCGGCGAGAGGGAGTGGTGGGTGGTGGTGAAAGGCTGGAGGATGGGTGGGATTTCTTTCCATTTATTTAGGGAGAGAGGGGGGATGTAAAGTGTATCAATGAAACTCTCAAATCAAAACCATCCTCCCGTGGGGAAAGAGTATGGTTGTGTGAGGGAGGGGGAGGGCGAGAGAGGGGGGGAGGGGGCGGGGTGGAAAAGTGAAACGTTAAACTTTAAACCACCCTGCCTCCCTATAGAAAAGCCTTAGAAGATGTTGAGAGCGACGGGTTATTGAGGTGAGGCTTAACCCGTCTGACTGGAGTGGCTGTGGAAAAACGTTTATCACATTCCAAAAACCTTAATTGGTGGATTTTCTGAGGCTGTGGATTTTGGTATTCTTTTTTTTATTCGACTTTATTATTGTTATTTTATTTATTTTATTTTTTATTTAGTTTGATACGCGTTTTATGGTGCTCGGCGCAACTGCATGAGCTCATAATTACAAGTATGATCATATGCGCGATCTTTTCTTCATTTTTTTTTAAATAGTAGAGGTTTTACGGCGCTCGCAACTGCATAAGGTCATATGAGCGCCAAGGGAGTGGATTTCAACAGAGAAGTCTTTACAGGGAATCAGACTTACTCTGCTCACCTCTGTAGCTTCAACAGCACAAAGTCTGCTTCAACTATCAAGGCACCCCGGAAATGGCGGGTCACAGTTGTGTGACAAACATACAAAAGAAGTAGAGGAAAATTACGATAGTAAGGATTTGAAAAGAAAAAGCAGCAGTTCCCTGTTGTAGTTCAGGCACAGTTATGAGCGTGACATTGATGAATCAGCCCATTTACAACTCTACTGTGCATTAGAACGAGAAATGCCCCCC